TGGTCTGCATGTAGGGAGTCCAGATCTTATAGCATAGGCATTCCAAGAGGCAGCACTGTAAGCTGCCTGCAGCCAGGCTCTCGCAAGATGGATCTCTCCCCTTCTTCCAACTTATTCTTCCCAGAAACCCGTTTTCCTGTCCCCTCAAACATACACCCCATCACACCTTTTGTCATGTGAACTGGTTTGCTGTTCACCCAGCCAGGCTGGTTTGCTTAAGCCAGTCCAGGAATTCCATGCCTGGCATAGTTCTGCAGTTTGTGCTTTAATCCATATCCTGATTAATAAAAATCCTAGTATTTATTCATTCCTAGGGTTTAGGGGGACCCCCCCCGATCTATAACAATAAATTTCTACATCTTTAAAGTGCCACAAGACTTGTGTTATTGTTGTTGCAAAAGATGAATATGGCTACTTCTCTAGTTTATATAACAACATCTAAGATGCTAAGGGATGTTATGCAGATAAATAAAATCTCTGCAGTGTTTTAGTTCTAATAAAGATTGTGATAGCCTGGGCTACTGAAGTAGGTTTCATCCCATTTGAAAGATAATACTCAGTAGATGGGCCATCCTAGTAGATAAGCATTTAAAAGTGAAGAAACATCTTGGCTTGAGTACTTCTCTCTATGAACAGTACCTTTCCCTTTCCTTTTTCTGTTTTCACCCATAGTGTTCAGCAGCTGCCTATTTTATATATATATATAAATGCTCGGTCCCAGCGCCTGCCAACCTAGCATTTCGAAAGCACCCCCGGGTGCAAGTAGATAAATAGGGACCGCTTACTGGCGGGAAGGTAAACGGCGTTTCCGTGTGCTGCGCTGGCTCACCAGAGCAGCGATGTCACGCTGGCCACGTGACCCGGAAGTGTCTCCGGACAGCGCTGGGCCCCGGCCTCTTGAGTGAGATGGGCACACAACCCTAGAGTCTGTCAAGACTGGCCCGTACGGGCAGGGGTACCTTTACATATATATATATATATATATATATATATATATATATATATATATATATGCTTTCGTAGATTTTCACGGGTACAGGAATGCAGGTTTTGGTGTCCTCGGGTGTCTTCCCGTGTAAAAGTTGGGGTGTCTAGGCGACGTTTCGACGAGGTCTCACTCGTCATCTTCAGGCTGGTGCTTTCGGCTTCTTGTTACTGGAACAGAGCAGGATCTCAGTGTTTGAGTTCCTATAAATACTGTTGAGGGGGTGTGGTGTATAGCCTCCAATGTTCTGGGCAGAGAGGAAGTTCCCAGGTTAGTGTGCCTTTTCTTCTTTTGTTCCTTAATTACTTGAGGGATATCTTGAGTGATTTCTTGAGTGATATCCTGAGTACCACTTAGGTGGGTCATTAGGTGTGGATTAGTTGCTAAAGCCTTCGTGTCTTGACCTCTTGAACTTTGTGAAGAGTTTTTCTGAGAAGATGGCTGTACTGCAATTAGTTGTGCTCTGGCTTGGCTTCGTGTATAGGGGCGAGCTGTGGTTTTGTGTCCTGTGCCAGCCAGATCTGTGTAGGGATTGCAGGGGGGTGCAGCATCTGGAGGTGCCACCATGGTTTGGCTACTGGATGGTGTCTGTAATTTATCTGTGGAGAGGGTCTGGGTTTGGGTCTGGTGTGGTTGATTGGTGATGGCGTTCTGTGTGCCTCTGGATCTGGTGTCGGTTTTTGTGGGGAGGGCTAATTTCCAGATGTCTGGCAGGCGGGATGTGTCGTCACGCTTGTTCATGTTGTGAGGGTGTTTCTCTATCTCGATGGCTTCCATGATTATTCTCTTGTGGTGATGTTCCATGTTAGAGAGCAATTTGGAATCTGCAAAATTAATTTCGTGTCCTGTTTCTTTCATGTGTTGGAAAAGAGAGGAAGTTTTTTCTTCTTTTTTGACGGCATTCTTGTGTTCTGCGATACGTGCATTTATTCGTCTGTTTGTTTGTCCAATGTACGTGGCTGGGCAGACTTTGCAGGGTATTTCATAGACCCCTTGGTTTTCCAACTGGATTTTATCCTTGGGGTTTCTGAGGATATTGGCTATTTTTTGGTTGGTGCAAAAGGCTGTTTTGATATTGTGTTTATGGAGGATTTTGCTGATTTTATCTGTAGTGCCCTTGATATAAGGAAGGAGGGCCATGCCATTGTTTTCTTCTGTGTCTTGGTTTTTGGGGGGTGTTTCTTTTTGCATTAGCTTCGTAACCCTGTTTTGCTGGTATCCATTGGCGATTAACACATTGGAGAGATTCTGTAACTCAGTTGTCAAGTGGTCTTTGTCAGCCAGGCGTTTGGTTCTGGAGATGAGAGTCTTGGCTACGGAGTTTATTTGTGCAGGGTGGTGGTGTGATTGTGCATGTAAGTAGCGGTTGGTGTGTGTTTTTTTCGGGTAGATAGTGTGTCCTAGGGAGCCATCAGGTTTTTTGTAGATTAGGACGTCAAGGAAGGGAAGTTGGTTGTTGGCTTCTATTTCCATAGTGAATTGTATTTTGGGGTGTAGGCTGTTGAGATGTGTGAGGAAGCTATCTAGTTTTTCCTTCCCGTGTGGCCAAATTACAAAGGTGTCGTCAACATATCTGAGCCAAAGTTTGGGTTTGTGTTCTGACTTGTCTAAAGCATTGGTTTCAAAGTGTTCCATGTACAGGTTTGCGATGACCGGTGAGAGTGGTGATCCCATAGGTGCTCCTTCTATCTGTTTGTATCTTTGTCCATTGTGGATGAAGTCCAACACGTACTTCATCCACAATGGACAAAGATACAAACAGATAGAAGGAGCACCTATGGGATCACCACTCTCACCGGTCATCGCAAACCTGTACATGGAACACTTTGAAACCAATGCTTTAGACAAGTCAGAACACAAACCCAAACTTTGGCTCAGATATGTTGACGACACCTTTGTAATTTGGCCACACGGGAAGGAAAAACTAGATAGCTTCCTCACACATCTCAACAGCCTACACCCCAAAATACAATTCACTATGGAAATAGAAGCCAACAACCAACTTCCCTTCCTTGACGTCCTAATCTACAAAAAACCTGATGGCTCCCTAGGACACACTATCTACCGGAAAAAAACACACACCAACCGCTACTTACATGCACAATCACACCACCACCCTGCACAAATAAACTCCGTAGCCAAGACTCTCATCTCCAGAACCAAACGCCTGGCTGACAAAGACCACTTGACAACTGAGTTACAGAATCTCTCCAATGTGTTAATCGCCAATGGATACCAGCAAAACAGGGTTACGAAGCTAATGCAAAAAGAAACACCCCCCAAAAACCAAGACACAGAAGAAAACAATGGCATGGCCCTCCTTCCTTATATCAAGGGCACTACAGATAAAATCAGCAAAATCCTCCATAAACACAATATCAAAACAGCCTTTTGCACCAACCAAAAAATAGCCAATATCCTCAGAAACCCCAAGGATAAAATCCAGTTGGAAAACCAAGGGGTCTATGAAATACCCTGCAAAGTCTGCCCAGCCACGTACATTGGACAAACAAACAGACGAATAAATGCACGTATCGCAGAACACAAGAATGCCGTCAAAAAAGAAGAAAAAACTTCCTCTCTTTTCCAACACATGAAAGAAACAGGACACGAAATTAATTTTGCAGATTCCAAATTGCTCTCTAACATGGAACATCACCACAAGAGAATAATCATGGAAGCCATCGAGATAGAGAAACACCCTCACAACATGAACAAGCGTGACGACACATCCCGCCTGCCAGACATCTGGAAATTAGCCCTCCCCACAAAAACCGACACCAGATCCAGAGGCACACAGAACGCCATCACCAATCAACCACACCAGACCCAAACCCAGACCCTCTCCACAGATAAATTACAGACACCATCCAGTAGCCAAACCATGGTGGCACCTCCAGATGCTGCACCCCCCTGCAATCCCTACACAGATCTGGCTGGCACAGGACACAAAACCACAGCTCGCCCCTATACACGAAGCCAAGCCAGAGCACAACTAATTGCAGTACAGCCATCTTCTCAGAAAAACTCTTCACAAAGTTCAAGAGGTCAAGACACGAAGGCTTTAGCAACTAATCCACACCTAATGACCCACCTAAGTGGTACTCAGGATATCACTCAAGAAATCACTCAAGATATCCCTCAAGTAATTAAGGAACAAAAGAAGAAAAGGCACACTAACCTGGGAACTTCCTCTCTGCCCAGAACATTGGAGGCTATACACCACACCCCCTCAACAGTATTTATAGGAACTCAAACACTGAGATCCTGCTCTGTTCCAGTAACAAGAAGCCGAAAGCACCAGCCTGAAGATGACGAGTGAGACCTCGTCGAAACGTCGCCTAGACACCCCAACTTTTACACGGGAAGACACCCGAGGACACCAAAACCTGCATATATATATATATATATATATGCTTTCGTAGATTTTCACGGGTACAGGAATGCAGGTTTTGGTGTCCTCGGGTGTCTTCCCGTGTAAAAGTTGGGGTGTCTAGGCGACGTTTCGACGAGGTCTCACTCGTCATCTTCAGGCTGGTGCTTTCGGCTTCTTGTTACTGGAACAGAGCAGGATCTCAGTGTTTGAGTTCCTATAAATACTGGGCTGCCCAGAACATTGGAGGCTATACACCACACCCCCTCAACAGTATTTATAGGAACTCAAACACTGAGATCCTGCTCTGTTCCAGTAACAAGAAGCCGAAAGCACCAGCCTGAAGATGACGAGTGAGACCTCGTCGAAACGTCGCCTAGACACCCCAACTTTTACACGGGAAGACACCCGAGGACACCAAAACCTGCATATATATATATATATATATATATGAGCTTTATTAAGTAAAATAGATTTGTTTAATTTCAGGTTCATGGTTGTAGTCTGAAATTCAAAAGGAAGAAAGCCCAATTAAACTTTTGCTTTTCTATGATGCAAAAATAAGCAAGATTTTCTGTTCAAAATAATTGCTATAAAATACTGCCCCCCCCAAATGACACAAACTTTGTTTTTGTCTTATAGAGAAGAAGTTGAAGGAAGATATTCTCAGGTACATGGAAGTGCTGGAGGAAAAACTGCAAAGGTAAAGGAAGGATGGGATCTTTAAAATATTTAGAAAATATAACATTTTTAATTTGTTACTTTATGCTGTACAATATCTCTGATGACTGTTCTGTCTACTCCCCTAGCCCCACCACTATAATTCAAAGGACTGGTTTGGACTTTAGAAGGCTTTTTGGGATAACATGTCTAATTATTGTAACTTTGTTTAGTTAATGGTCTCTTTTTAAAATATGAGAAATATGAAACTTGGTTTTCAAAAAATGGGTTGAAAGGTCAAAAGTCTCAAGATATTTCAGTGTAGTGTTCTATAAAATGTGAGGCCAGTCTCAGTGGAGGGATTTATTTATATATTTCTAAAAATATTTTTATATTGCTGTTCATTTAAAAAAAAATCAGAGAGGTTTACAACAGTAATGCAGAAACAATAAATTAAAATCATATATTTTGGCTGGCTTATACGGAAACCACAAACCCTTTCTCTGTGAAGTAAAGATTGTATAAAGGTAAAGGGACCCCTGACCATTAGGTCCAGTCATGACTGACTCTAGGGTTGCGGCGCTCATCTCGCTTTACTGGCCGAGGGAACCAGCGTACAGCGTCATGTGGCCAGCATGACTAAGCCGCTTCTGGCGAACCAGAGCTGCACACGGAAACGCTGTTTACCTTCCTGCCAGAGTGGTACCTATTTATCTACTTGCACTTTTTGATGTGCTTTCGAACTGGTAGGTTGGCAGAAGCTGGGACAGAGCAGCAGGAGCTCACTCCGTTGTGGGTATTCGAACTGCCGACCTTCTGATCGGCAAGTCCTAGGCTCTGTGGTTTAACCCACAGTGCCACCCACGTCCCATGAAAGATTGTGTACTATGCACCTAAAATGGTAGCCTTGTGAAATGAGTCTGGACTTGTGAGCTTGCCCTTCCTATCAGAAGCTGAAAGAATACTGCAAGCCAACCAGCTGTTTTTGCTCTCTACTTTCTACTTTTCCCTTTTGTCTGCTTTTCTTCAGTTTTCACTGTACATTAATTTACATCAGGGAGGCTTGAGGATTGTTTTAATTATTCAGAGATGTGGACTATGTCACAGGTAGAATGGGACTTCAGGGCTGCAAGGCATTTCACACACATGACCAGAGAAACAAATGTAGATTGCTTCAGTGTTGAGGTGAAATGAGAGGGGGGCGGGGAACTGTGTGGAAATTGTTCTGATTCATAGCATCCAGGAAGCAGAGACAGCAAGCTTCTGGAGTTATTGAATCTCCATTTGAGACCACACCAAAACATCCTTGTCAGCTTGAGTGACATTATGCTGATTAAGAAAAGGAATAGGCATGGGGGAACACTTTTGGTTCACAGCACCAGTCTACATACATGTGTATTTCACTCTTCTGGCACTGATGCAGCCTTTGGCTTTAAATAGTGCATTTGCCTGTGATAAGGCCTGTGGCAGGCGGGTGGAGCTGGGCATGCCATCTGATACTGCCTGTTTTCCCTTTTAAGACAGCGTCAGCCTTGATGTGGAAGGGCTCTCCTTCCAATGTCACACTAGCAGAAGGTTGAAAAATGCCTGCTCTATTCCTTGTGAATGAGTATCCACATAACATCCGGTGGCAGAAAATCCTCCTATTGATCTTGCACATGGCATATTTCAGATAAACTTAGCCATGGCTCATTGGTTGTATCATATCATTAAGTAATTCCCTGTTTGATTATGAAGAACTTTGGAGATCATGAAGAATTCTCGTCTTTTTATTCCAGATCCAAAAATAGAAAGCAAGAAAACAATGTCATTGTTATGTTAATCCTTATTCAGAACATTTGCTTATTCCCCCCTCCTGAGCCGTTGCTGAGATTAATGTTTAATCTTCCAGCTTTGAAGAGCTCTGGTGTTTCCCTCAAGGCTTTGGTTGCCTCTTAAAAGGCTTATCGCTTGGTGTTGTGTTACTCTTATAACAGGATAATCTAAGTATTTATGATTTCTAAAAAGTTCTTCAGATGCTACAGTATATAGTTTCGAAGGGCCTAGACTCTGTAATGAAACATGTGTCTTTATAGGAAAGTCACCATGCAAGTCCTGACTCTCCCATCACCCTCATCCAGCAAAGCGGTGGTCAGGGATGATGGGAGTTGTAAGCCAGCAACATTTGGAAGGCAGCAAGCTCCCTAATATTGATTTATGCTTAGTAGCATGGTGTCCTCTCATCTAAATCACACTGAGGGTCATCTAGTCCAACCTCTAGAAATGGAGGAATCTCAACTAGATCATACATGAGAGATGACCATTCAACCTCTTTCCTCTTCAATTTCATCCTGCTTTTGGGAGACAGTGGTGCAGGAGAGGGTGGGGAAGCACCTGGCCCTTCACTTGCCTGACCGGCCTCGTCTGTCAAGCCGTCCTATGCTCTATTCTCCAGTTCTTAAGCTTTCCCTGCATCTGACTCTTGCTTCCTGGTTGTACAGGACCCCACAAATCACTGGGCCCCTCTCCCAAGTCAAACTCCAGTACCCGTCAGTGTCTTCCCAGTCCCACACCACTCCATTTTAATTGTTGCAAGACGAATTAAATGCTACCCTCAATAACATTTAGGACAGGGAGGTGTAAATTCAAAGATAATTAATAATAGTTGCGTCCAAGCCATTCCTAACTCGAAGACAGCAACAAGAATATTACATACCACAGAGAGATCAGTATCCACTCTATATTCTGTAATAGCATTCTATTATATCTCACAGGCCACATGGTGATTCGTCCAAAATCCCTTATCACAGTTGCCTCAGGCTCCAAACTACTTTTTTATTTGTGTCAGTCACCATAAATATCACTTCTTTTTTTTGAGCTGAAGAATTTAATGTGATTATGCTGTACTCCAAATCTCAAAGAGAGAAAGCAGGCAGAGGAGGGAGCGGGGCACATTTAGTCGCTCTTCTTAATTCCCAGATAGAAATCTTACAATTATTTAGGGGGATGCCATTCTTTGAAGGATGATAACTATTGACAACACACAAAGGAGCCTTACTTGTTTATTCTGTTTTAGAATTTGGAAAGTGGGAGTATAAATGAATACGGGGTTTAATACGCTCCAACGCTGTGATATACATTTGCATTGCTGCTAAAGAGTGACAGTGATACAGTACCCTGGAGCTTTGAAAATGAATACCCCCCCCCGCTTTAACTGATTCCTCACTATTTGTCTTCATTATTTCTATTCAACTTCATCTTTGTTTAATTTAACAAGTGCACTTGTCAGTTCATGAGGATGTGGCAACAGTGCTGAATTTTGAAACAAGATGGTGTGTGTAAGGCATAAGGGGTGTAATTTTTTTCAAGAGAGCTTACATTCAGATTTATGAAATGGGCACTCATTTTGGTTACATGGTATCTTTTACTTAATCTTGTATTTCTCTAAATGATTAAAGGGGCCATGGCTAAATGGTTGAGCAGTTGGAACTTATGAGACGTCACATTTGACAGTCCGGCATCCCTTGTTAATGGTTCCTCGGTAGCGGAATCAGAAGAGACATCTGCCTTAGCCCCAAGAGAACTCTGTTACAGTTGACAGTAGTGGGCCATTGAAATAGCCAGCATATGGTGGTTCCCTGTATTACTTGGATGCTTTAAGGAGCCACAGTTAATTTAATTAGTTTGAAATAAATCTGATTAACCCAGGAGACCCCCAGTTTGGCTACCCTCCTTTTTTGCAAGCAGTTTCTGCAACTCTTTGTCTCTTTTGAACTGCATGGAACATTACCAGCAAAGATTGCAGTGCGCCTTATTCACTAGTAAGGCCCAATTTTGTTCCCAATTTTGTTCTTACATGAATAGTTCTTTTTTCATGCATTCCTGTTCTGGGGAAGAGCACCCTATTTTGGGAACTGTACCAGCTTTGTCTGTTCTTGACATCTATAGAAGTGATTTTTGCAAGAGGTTGCTGTTTGGGTATGCCACTTACGACACACATAGTACATGTGGTTAATCATCCCAGTCAGTTCAAGTAATGGAATGAGTATAAAACTCTATCATGGCAAGCCTGGATATCATATTCCTGGCAAAACATGCTGTTGCTGGTGAACGAGGCAGCAGTAGTGGGACTACTAGGGCCAGACTGCCAGGAGCAGTTCTGAGGTCCTCACCTCTAACTCCCTTTGTGTCCACTATCTTTCATTCCCCAGAGTGGCTCCAATCCGACATGGGCCCAGAAGTGCTCTGAGAACCAAAGGAGTGGACTCTTCAGATGTTGTGTGGGCTGCCACTACCTGATAAGGAGGGAAGGGATTGACTGAGCAGATGGTGGAGAAGAGTCCCATCCTTTTTCTAACCTTTCTTCAAAACCTTTTTAGAAGACAATAAGCAAACTGGAAGGGACGCGGGTGGCGCTGTGGGTAAAAGCCTCAGCGCCTAGGGTTGCCGATCGAAAAGGTCGGCGGTTCGAATCCCCGCGGCGGGGTGCGCTCCCGTTGCTCGGTCCCAGCGCCTGCCAACCTAGCAGTTCGAAAGCACCCCCGGGTGCAAGTAGATAAATAGGGACCGCTTACTAGCGGGAAGGTAAACAGCGTTTCCGTGTGCGGCTCTGGCTCGCCAGAGCAGCGATGTCACGCTGGCCACATGACCCGGAAGTGTCTCCGGACAGCGCTAGCCCCCGGCCTCTTGAGTGAGATGGGCGCACAACCCTACAGTCTGTCAAGACTGGCCCGTACGGGCAGGGGTACCTTTACCTTTAAGCAAACTGGAGGCAGTACACTGACAACATGCATGAGGAAGTAAAGGGTCTGTTCCCAACAGGGAACAATTTTGCTCTGGTTTCCTCAAACCTGGGACTCCCACTGGCCTGCAGAGATCTAGTCTTGGGTGCATCAGGAGCTGACAGAACCTTAGCGGACAGAAGTGGATAAGGCCATCTAATTACCTTTGGCCTCAACATCAAGGGCTACCTTTGCCAATAACCTCCATGCTTTTGGAAACTTGTACCAACAGTGGGGTAGCTTCAGCCTGGCTGATGCAGTCTTTCAATATTTTTAGGTACTT